ATTATTTGTGTAGCTCTCTTGGCCTCCTTGCTGATACTGGTATTACCATTAAAATATTGATCACACTTACTTATCCAGTGAATGTTTTTAAGTATTTGATATACCAAGAATTAAGTTTTGGGGATTATTAGAAAATATTATAGTAGATTAATTTTGACACTGGATACTACTGAAATTCAAATCTTAATATCATTCTTCAAGCATCTTTAGAGCCAGATTCTGGAGGTCTTAAGATACCTTTCATCTATGTTAGGTTCTGGTATAGGCATTTAGGTCATTGGTTGTCTTTGAGTTTAGGTAAGCTGTTGCTTTTTCTTTGCCTTTTTTTTTTTTTTTCTTCTTTAATATGCCTTATGTCACCATTGAGACATGTTGACTGGATTATCTGCAAATAAGGCTCCAGTATTCTGAAGATTTTTTGGTCAGGAACCAGGCCCTAATGTAAAAAAAAATGGGCCAACCATTGTGCTAAATTGAGATATGACATAATTCTACATATTTATAAATATATAATTAAATAAACATATATAAACATGTAGCTATATATGGTTATATCTAAACATTTCCCTATGTATTATATGTGCATACATGATATTTTTTCAATTCTTTGGCAGTAAGGTAGACTCTAATGCAAAGTTTATATGTGTTTGATATGTATGTGTTATGTATATAATGATAAATGTGAATTATTTTTCTATTATTTTTGATGCCCTTAATAAATGTTTACATTTTTAATGACCTACATTTTCTTCATCTGTTAAAAAGAGTGGTAACACCTCAGTGTAATGTAAACCCTGAGCCTCTGGGTTCTGCTGCAAACCCTTGTGAAAATGTGAATGAATAGAACTTTGACGAAGAGCAGTTTAGTTACACTGACTAATTTAAAGTGCATATTCTTTGATTCAGCATTTCTGCTAAGAGCTTATCCTTGGGAAATCCTTACATCAGTATACAAAGAAGTGTTTAAGGATGTCTCCAGAAGCTATAATATGACAGTACTATAAATGATTCAAATGTCTTAACAGCTAAGTAAGTGATAACCCGTATGTATAGAGGTTTTGTTTTCTTTTGTTTGTAAACCCTATACATTTCTCTGATTTCTCTCCCGCACACCACAGTTTTATAATGGTATGTTTTGATAGCTTATAGGTTAAGTCCCCTGCATCATCCTTGTTTTTAAAAAAGTTACAAGCATACATAAAAAGTTAGCATATTAGCAAGTGTCAGTGTCCTCACTGTTTAGCTTTGTCACATCTTGACATTTTCTTATTTAAGCTGAAAGTTAACCTCTTTGAGATAAATCTTTATCCTTTGAACACTGTTATTCTCAGTATGTGGTTTTATGAATACATAATATATGTATTTGTTGAAATAATATAACTTTGCATGTTCTTAAACAATATATGTCATTCTACAAAGTGTTTTTTTCTTTTTTTTACATTTTGTATATTGATGTTTTGGGCTCTGGTTCAATTATATCATCCATTTAGGCATTCTTTTGGTGATGCGGGTTTGAACTCAGGGCCTTGCTCTTGCTAGACAGGCACTCTACCACTTGATCCATGCCCCTAGCCCTTTTTGCTTTGGTGATTTTTGGAATAGGATCTGACATTTTTTTTTGCCTAGGCTGGTCTGGACCACGATCCTTCTCCTATTCTTCCTGTGTAGCTGGGATGACAGGTGTGTACCACCATACTCAGGTATTAGTTGAGATGGGGGTCTCTCAAACTTTTTGTCCAGATTGGCCTTGAACCATGATCCTTCCATTTTCTGCCTCGTGACTAGTTGGAATTACAGGAATGAGCCACTGTACCTGGCCTCCATTAGGTATTCTATTATATGATTAAACCTCGAATTATTTATGTATTTTCCTGTTGATAGTTTTTTTTAAGGTATATTTATTTGTTCATTTGCTACCAAAGCATCTGCCATGTGTTCTTAGGTGCATTTGGTTTTTTCCACAGTGAAAATTTAGAATTGCTGGGTTGTAGACTATGTCCACTATTAAATCTAAATTTTGTTGTTAATGTTGTGTGCCACTTCAGAACTGTCAGTTTGCACTGTCACCTGCATCTTCACCAATTGTGGTATTGTTAGACTTTGAAACTCTGCCAGTATCATGCCAATTTTAATTTGATTTTCTCTGATTACTAATGAGGCAAAAAAATTTAAACACATTTATTGGTTATTTGGGTTTTCTAGTCTTTAGTTACTTGTTTCCTTTTTTTTTTCCCCCCACTAATTTTTCTTTGTTTTTGTTTGAGCTGGGATGTTGCAATGTTGCCTAGGCTGGTCTTAAACTCCGGGGATTAAGTTGTCCTCCTGTCTCAGCCTCCTGAGTAGCAGGGACTGTAGGCATGTACATTGCATGTGGCTGTGACAGCTTGTCTTTTGAGTTCCTTGCCTTTTCCTTATTCATTTGCAGAAATAATTTATACATTCTGGGTGAGTGCTTTTGTTATATCTGTTGTGCATATTTTCTTGCTGTGGATACCTTTGTTTTTAAAATCTCTTGTCCTTTAGTTTTATAGTTTTAAATTTTAATATAATTGAAATTGTCAGTATTTTCTTTCATGGTCTTGCTTTTTGGGTTTTGTGTAGGAAACCTTTTCTGAAGTTATAGTTTCTTTATTTTCAATTCTGGCAGCCTTAAAAATTTTTTTCATATGTAGGAATTTAATCTGCTTGGTATTGATTTTTGTGTGTGATGAGTTAGGGACTGTTTTCCCATATGGGCATCCAGTTCTTGTGTTGCTTATTGAAGAGTCTCTTGGTCCATGAATTTTTAATGCTGTTTTCTCCCATATAACATTTTTCATATATTTCAAGGTTTGTTTCTGTGTTTGCTGTTCTGCTGGTTGTTTTGTGTATTTTTGTTAGAAAAGCATGTTGTTTTTGATAAGGGTATCTTTAGATAAGTCTTCATATTAGGTAAGGTTGGTTCTTCTTGTTTTTCAAAATTGTGTTTGCTTTCTTAATTCTAAGGTCTTCCATTAGTTGATTTTTATTCAATTAAAATCCACTTAACATAAAACCAGCCATTTTAAGCAGATGAGGGAGAATGATGGAGGGAGTGATTAAGATACATGGTAAGCCTGTATGTAATGTCACAGTGAACACCCCACCACATTGTACGCATTTCACACAAATGGAATTATGCAATATAAGACCTTTTGTGTCTGAGCTCTTTCACTTAGAATAATGGTCCATCCACATTCTAAAAATTGTTAGAACTTCATTCCTTTTTATGGCTGAACATTTCACTTTCTGTATCTATGATTGTATCTGTAATTGTTTATGCATTAATCTGCTGATGGACATCTGGTTTGTTTCCATCTTTTTGACTCTTGGGAATAGTGTTGCTGTGAACATGTATGTGCCTGTGTCTCTTTGAGTACCTGTTTTCCGTTCTCTTGGGTGTGTATTTAGGAATAGAATTGTGGGTCATAGGATAATTAAATGTTTACCTTCTTGAGGAATTGCCAAACTTCTTTCCATAGCATCTTAACTGTTTTACATTTCTACCTGCAATATATGAAGGTTTTGATTTTTTTTACACCCTTTCTTAATACATTTTATTACCATATTTTTAAAAAGTTTATTTTATCTATTCTTTTGGCTGTGAATTTGTATCTAATTGTGGTTATGATTACATTTTTGTAATGACTAATGATGTTGAGCATTTTTCTCTCATGTTTGCTGGCTGTTTGTATGTATAGTATGTATATGCAGATAATGAGAAATGTTTACCCAGGTTCTCTGTCCACGTTTTGAATTGGGTGGTTTTTCTTTTTGTTGTTGAGTTGTAAGAGTGCCTTTATTTCCTGAACACTAGATCTTTATCATATATATGATTTGTGAATACTTCCCTTTTTGTAGGTTGTCTTCTTACTTTCACTGTTCTTTGATGTAGAAAAGTTTTTAATTTTGATGAAGTCCAGTTATGTTTTGTTGCTTGTGCTTTGTCAGATCTAAAAAATGCATTGTCAAATCCAGGGTCATGGAGATTTATTCCAATTTTCTTCTAAAAATTTGTTCTTTTAGCTCTTCTATTTAGGTTGTTGATTCATGTTGAGTTCATGTTTGTATATGGAACGAGATGGGACTAATTATTTTGTATGTAGGTATTCAGTTGTCTCAGCACCATTTGCTGAAGAGACTCCATTTAATATTTATAATCTTGTTGAAAATGAATTGTCTATAGAAGTGGGGTTTACTTGTGAACTCATTCACTTCTCCATTAGTCTGTCTAGTCTTATGCTAAGTACAGGTGGTTTTTATTACTGTTTTGAGATTGGGAAGTAGGAATGTTCCAGTTTTGTTACTTTGTTTCAATATTGTTTTGACTATTTGGAGCTAGTGGCTTTTAGGATATGGTCAACTCCACTTAACCAGTAAAGATTCATACCTTTCATCCAAACCTTCTTAATTGTGTAATAAAAGCTCAAGAGAACTTCAAGCAGTCCTGCCCATATTAGTTGGCAACTGTTGCAGTATGAAATCTGTGCTGCTTTTGAAATTTGTAAGTTTTTGAAGTGTTTGCTGTATTAAGTAAAAGAAAGGTTTCCCATCCTCCTTTCCCTTTTTCTTTGGCCCCAGGTTATGCTTTTGTCACCTCTTTGATACTTACACCTCTTATTGCTATTATTTTACTTTTTCTCCTCCCTTTAGTTTTTCTGTTTTTAACTTTTTCTTCTTTTTGAATATGTCTCATCATGACACATAATTAATTGCCATGTTCTCTCCTCTCAGCCCTGAAATTGGAACTTTCTAGGTCTCATCTTTCTATATTGTGTAAAGTGTTTTCTCTTCGACATCCAGGGTTCATTTTCTTTTTTATGCCAAGTTATATTTATCCTATTCTTTGGGCATATCTGGGTTGCTCTAAGAGATAATTCTTACCTGATAATGGCAGGGTTAGAAAACAGCTCTCAGGGTTAGGTGAAGGGGATTCTTAAGAAGGCTCACTCTTGCAAGTCTTTTTTTCTCGTTTCTCACAGGGAGGAAGAAGAACGTCTGAGAAATAAAATTCGAGCTGACCATGAGAAGGCCCTGGAAGAAGCAAAAGAAAAATTAAGAAAATCAAGAGAGGAAATCCGTGCAGAAATTCAGACAGAGAAAAATAAGGTAGTTCAAGAAATGAAGACAAAAGAGAATAAGCCACTGCCGCCAGTCCCTATTCCAAACCTTATAGGAATCAATGGTGGGGACCCAGAAGATGATGATGTCAGAAAGAAGAGGGAAAAAATTAAAGAGGTAATAAGCTGAGATTTGTGATATGGAGTGGCTATAGGAATGTGTTTGATGCTGTCTGTGGTGTCATACTTTGATCTTGGGTCATAGTTGTAGATCAGGTTCTTGATTGGCAGTAAGGACTAGCGCTCTGTCTCTTTCTTGATACTGGTTATAATGCATTTATTAGATAATGAAAAATTTGGTATAAGATTGTTTTGATAGTTATATCATTCACACTGTGTTCAGAGGTCTTTTGAAATGCAGCATTTTATAAATAATGTAGAATAGAATCCATTTATAATTTATCACTGAATAACCAATATAAGTATTGGGTTACAGGAGACTCTTGCTAGACACTATGCAGATTTTCTTATAAACATGGTTCTAAAGAGCAGCATTTCTAGGGGTTGTGGCATATGTTTGTAATCCTAGTTACTCGGAAGGCAGAGATTGTGAGGATAGTAGTTTGAGGCCAGCCCAGGCAAAAAGTTATTGAGACTCCATCTCAATCAACAAGCTAGGCATGGTATCTTATACTTGTAATCCCAGCTAATTAGGCATAGATAGGAGGATTGCAGTTTGAGACTGGGCCTGGCAAAAATGCAAGACCCTATCTCAAAAATAACTAAAGCAAAAAAGGGCTAGGGGTATGGCTCAAGTGGTAGAGCACTTGCTTAGCAAGTGTGAGGCCTTGAGTTCAAACCCCCCCCCCCAAAAAAAAAGATACCACTATTTTAGCTCTCTTTGTAGGAGTATGTCATGATATCTGTCAACCATAATGCACAATTAAGAGCACATTCTTCCAAAGAGTCCATGGTTTGAAAGATGGGGAGAGATTGATATCAAAATTACTTAAATAGTTCACAAGATCCCATCTCCAAATGACCAGAGAGAAATGGACTAGACGTGTAGCTGAAGTGCACTTGCCTTGCAAGCAGGAAGTCCCAAGTTCCCAGTCCTACCAAAAACAAACAAACAAATTATTACCTTAATGGCACTAAACCAGGGTTTCAGGCTTGGCCGAATCTAAGTTTGTAGATGTAATTGTCAGTAATGTGCATTTATCTTTGTCTCTTTCCCTTTGTCATTTAGTTTCTCCCTGATCAGAAGAGGGAGTCATTGTCAGCTCCTGGATTATATGTAACATAGACCTTAGGACACAAAAAGAGAAAGTCACCCTGTTTCTCAGAGTATGTAATAGTATGTGTGAAAAGGACTGTATTGTCACTTTGTCTAGGGCAGGGACTGGCAAAGTACAACCTGTGGGCCAAATTTTTACAGCTGCTGTTCTTTTGAAAATGAGTTTAATTGGAACCACAGCTATGGCCATTTAGTTATAAATTATTTAGGGCTGTTTTTGCTCTATCACAGCAGAATTAAAGTTTGCTGATCTCTGGTCAAGGGTAAGGGATTTTGTAGCTAGGGTCAGTTAATTGTTGATAGAAGCAAGACCCCTTAGTTGATAGCTCTGTTATAATAACATTGAGGGAAGGGGAACTGTTTCCCAAAGGACTGTTAGTTTTTTAAAAGGAGAGAAGGCCAAATAGACAACTTTCTCCCCTGCCTCCCCCTCCCTGCCAAAATAACTTGTTTATTATATCTAATTTTTTTCTGTTGTATACATTGAGAGTAAACATAGCTATGTGTGTTCTCACACTTGTACAAGTATTAATTGAATAATATGCTAATGTTTTAGAAGAATGGATAGTCAAACCCTAAATTACATGAAACATAAGAATAATAGTGTGAATAACTTGCATGGATGGATTATAACTTTCTCTTCTCAGATGATGAAACATGCCTGGGATAACTATAGGACATATGGATGGGGACACAATGAACTCAGACCTATTGCCAGGAAAGGCCATTCTACTAACATATTTGGTAAGTTTACTTTTTTATAATTACTACTTTTATTTTTCTGTCTCCATCTTTTAAAACGAGATGTAACTTTTTTAAACTACTTTTTAAGATCTGAGTAGATCTATGAGATACATATTTTTTTCTTGGTATCACTGGGGTTTGAACTCAGGGCTTCATGCTTGCAGAGCAGGTGCTCTACCACTTGAGCCACACCTTCAGTCCATTTTGCTCTGGTTATGGTTAGTTTGGAGATGGGGTTCTCATGAACTGTTGGCCCTGATTGGACTCGAATCTTGATCCTCCCAATCTCAGCTTCCCAAATACCTCGAATTACAGATGTGAGCCATGGCACCTGGCTGAGCTTGTTTTTTTTTTTTCAAATGTGAAAAGATTTAGTTACAGTTGCTTTGGGATAGATAGTTATGTGGTAGATTTTATTTATTTATTTTTTGGCTGCACTGGAGTTTGAACTCAGGGCCTTGAACATGTTAGGAGGGTGCTTTACCACTTGAGCCATGCCCCCAGCCAAGTAGACTTTCTATTTAGATACAGATGTTTTAATTATTTATCTGAGAGCTTTGAAGCTTTTTTCTGCATTTTTTCTTTAATGTCAGGAAAGCTGGGTACCTGTTGGTAGTTTTTTTCTTCAAGATAATACCATTAGCATATACCCATTATAGAGGAAGAGGGAAAGGATAGGAAATTCCCTTGGTGTTTTGTACATTTAAAAAAACAAAAAGTAACACACAAGGTGATTTAGTTGGAATCAAGTGGGTTTTGTTATACATGCGTGGTTTCTGGGGTGGGGGTTAAGGAAGAGCTGTATTCACTTTTGAGTTTGTTCTAACTTTTTCATCTTTTGACTTCTGTCTATTTATTAAATTCCCAGTTTAATACACTTAACTAATTTTACTTAACAAGTTTTACCAGACCCAAGGTTAAGTCTTGAGCATTGTGGCCTTCACTTCTTCCCCTCATTTTAAATGCTTCTCAGAGATAGGTATCTTTTAAGTAAGGCTAGATCAAAGCAGGAAAGACACATGTAGTAGTCATAGGCAGTTCAGTTTTCTTTATTAATTAGAGCACACCATCACAATAATTTAACTTACAGTATGTTTCCTTGTAATACTCTGGAAGAATTGCTCTAATGCTCTGATTTCCCTTACAGTTTATTTGAGGTTATTTGTGTTTTGTCAAAAAGAAAATGCCTTAAAAGATAATTTCTCCTGGTTTTGAGAGATGTGTTGGAGAGGAAAAAAATTTCTTATAAGTAGGAAATCAGTGACTGCCAGGGATCTTACATGTAACTTAGCAGCTTTCATTTAATGAAATAAAGTATATTTCTTTTGCAGAGGTTACTGTTGTTTTGCAGGTGTTACAAAATGAGACGTTAGTGTGCTAAAAGACATTGTATTTAATGGTTAGTTAGCCATAGGTCCTCACTGGTAAACTACGAGCCTTATTTTTTAAAGATTGAGTATGAACATGTATTGACGATAGGAAGCGGATGTTCATTTTCATGTTTGCTAGCCATATTTTGTAGAACATCTAAAGTGACACCATGTAGCAAATGGATATTGGTCGTGATACTGCTTTAGTAAATTTTTATCTTTTTGAGATAGGGTATTAATACATAGTCCAGGCTGACCTTGAACTCTCAGTTTTTTTTTGCCTCAGACTCTCAAGTTCAGGATTACAGGCATGCTCTGCAAGTCTGGCCAGAATGAATTCCTGTTTATATTACAGAGAATCGAAAGAGTTTTGTTAATGAGATGTCTTTTTGCATTTAAAAGAAGGAATTTTGATTTAGAAAAGGATGTTCTTTGACTTTATAATGCTTTTTGAAGGGTACTTTTAATTTTCCATATATATGCACTTATATTAATTATTTTATTTCTGACTTAACTGAGGTTTGATTTGCTAATACATTTAATTCAGAATATGTAAAAGAATAAATAATCATGACTAAGTGAGGTTTGTCCTGGGGATGCATGGTTGGTTAATCATTTAGAAACTGGTCAGTGTAATTCCAGATATTAAGGGAATAAAAGAGGAATAATTATATAGTCATTTCAGTAGGTGCAGGAAAATATTTAACAACATTCAATGTCCAGCAGTGATAAAACCTCTCAGCACATTAGACTAGAAAGGAACTGCGCAGCAGTAACAGCAAACCCAGACTGTCATCCCACAGTGTGCTGGAAGTTGAAAGACTAGCACTTTCCCTTGAGAATGTGAGTGAGGCAAGGATGGCTGCTGTTACTACTGAGAACATTGTCCTGGAGTGGAAGTCCTAGCCAGTGCACTGAGGCAAGACAAAAGAGTAAAGACTGGAAATGAAGAATAAAGATGTTTTTAATTTGTATTCAGTATGATTGTCCAAGGAAAAAATGCTAAGGAATCTAACAAACAAAATTATAGAATGAATAAACAAATTCTGTAAGGTCATAGGATAAAAGTTCACTATACAGAATCAATTACATTTTTATATACTAGCAATAGTTATAACTTAAAAATAATGACACTTGTAGCATCAAAGATATGAACTATATATGGATGAATTTGACAAATTATGTGCAGAATCTGTACACTGAAAATTTCAAGCTGTCATCAAGAAAAATTTAAAAGGATTTAAACAAATGGAGAGAGGGTCCATATGGAGATTGAATGAGAATACTAGATAGTGTTCAGTTACCAAATCTCTTTAAATATTTAGATTTAAAGCATTCCCAATCAAAATGATAGTAGGTTGGTTAGAAGAATGATAGATTGAAATTGATAAAGTTGAGAAACTTATTCTAAAATTAGTATGAAAACACATAGCACCTATAGCAGTCAAAATAATTGCTAGTAAGGTAGAGAAAGTGGAACCACTCATTCCATCTGATTTTAAGAGGTATTATAAAGCTACAGTAACAAGGGAAGTATGGTTTTAGCATAGAATAGGAGAGTGGAAACAATAGTAGTGGACAGCAGTGTATCTGAGTAACTGATTGTCAGCAGAGATGCTGAAGTAATTCAGTGGGCAGAAGGATAGTCTCTCCAACAGATGGTGCTGGCACTGGGTGCCTGCCTTCGGCTTGCTTTGTAGGTGCTCTACCACTTGAGCCACAGTCCCAGGCTAGATATTTATTTGGAAAAATAATAAAACTTAACTCTTCCGTCAACACTATATACAAAAATTAACTTGCAATGGATCACAAATCTAAACATAAAACTAAAGTATAAAACTTCTAGTTGATCACGTTTGAGATAACTTTTATGACATTGAGGTAAGTAAGGAATTTTTGGAGTACAAAAACAACTATAAGAGAAAAAAATTGACAAATTAAACTTCATGAAAGTTATAAATTTCTGTTCCCAAAGACATTAATAAAATGAAAAGACAGGCTACAGGTTAGGAAAAGATGTAACAGTTTATACACAAGGATGTATCCAGAATATGTAAAAACTTCCCCACCAAAGAAGGCACATGAGTAGGCCAGTAAGCACATCTGTAGCTGGAGATTTACATGTCCACAAAAGTGTATAAAACAGGAAAGACCCACTTACCGAATACTGACTTGGATGGTGGAGCAGCTACACCTCTGACACTGTGGTGGGATATAAAGTGGTGCACTGTTAAGCTTGCTACTTAACAGTAAGCTTATCACATAGCCCAGCTGTTTCCATGATACAGATGAGATCAGATGGCTTCATTTTTCTTAGTAAGTTAGGTTTTTTTTAGTTAGTGGTATACAATATTTATAAATTGAATTTTAAGTTCTTTTTTCCTATAGTCTAAAAATTTATGTAGGGTAAGAGTTACCAACCTTAAGATTAAAGTACAGTTTAGTCTATGAAATTTATAGAATGTTGTACTTTTATAGCCTTTACTCTGAAAATTTCTCAATTTCTTGTTTCTTTGTCTTATTTATTTAGATCTTCTATTTGTTTATTCATAAGTCAAGGTAATACATATTTTCCTAGGAAGTTCCAGTTCTAGCTGGGCATTAGTGGCTCATGCCTATAATCCTAGCTACTGAAGGTCGGATCACTATTAAAGGCAATCCCTGGCAAACAGTTTGAGAGACCCTATCTTGAGAATATGCAGCACATCAAAGGGCTGGCAGAGTGGCTCAAGTGGTAGAGTACCTGCCTCACAAGTTGTAAGGCAAGGAAAAAAGATTCCAATTCTACTCAGTTTTTAAATTTATTGTGAAAATAATAAGATGGGCTTTTGTTTTCTTAATTTGCTCTGTTGTATTTTTATTTCTTATATTGTGTTTTTATATTCTTTTGAAAATTTAGATTAGTGGTAGATTTACTGTATAGTTCTTTTCATAGACCCATCTGTTGAGTTTATCATTTTGACAGTGATCTTCACTTCTAATTTATTAATTTCTGCCTTTAGCTTTTTCTAATTCTTCCATTTTGTTACTGCTGTTTATTGCTCTTTTTCTTACAGCCTTAGTAGAGTGTTGAATTCAGTTATTTTCACTTGTTTCTATTAAATAATAAAATCTTAAGCTTAAAAGTTTTTATCAGAGCTTTTTTAGTTTCCCATAATACATTTTCATTAAAGCTTTATATTGTATGTCATATAACATTCTAGATAATGTCAACATGAAGGGAACCTGAGGAGGGAGCAGACCAGGGGATTTGCCAGGGTGTGTTGGAATATTTGCCTTATTAGTTGTAAAATAGACTTACTGGTAAGTTGAGGAAATGAATAGGGGCATATGAATAAGAAAATGGTATCTAAGTGAAGGACAGCCATCAAAATAACAAATGTGTGTAGCCGAAGCCCCATGAAGAACAACCTTTACCTAATCGAAAGAGGAGTGGAGGAAGAAAGAAAAGAAAGGTTGTTTTCTTGTCCTGTATTTTCAGTATTTGTTTTTAGTATTAGACTGGCTTTAGTCAATTAGTTCTTCTCTTCTTCCTTGCCTCCCTCTTTTTTCCTCTGGGACATTTTTTTAAAGATCATGATTACCTCTTTGTTAAAGGTGGGTAGATCTTACTGTTTTGATTTTTCTGTACTCATATTTTATCTTACGACTGGCTTGTTGTTATTGTTTATTTATTTTTGGCCATATGGGGGACTGAATTCAGGCCATCCCATGCACTGCTCTAAATCCTTTTGTTTTTTTGATAGGGTCTCCAACTAACTGCTAGGGCTGGCCTTGGATTGTGATTCTCCTGTGTCTGCCTCATAAGTAGCTGGGATTATAGATGTGAACCACCATGCCTGGCCCCAGTTCATCTGTTTTTTGAATATTAAGATTATTACAATTTGTGTCCCACTGTGGTTACCTAGCCTTGTACATACGTTATTTTTTAAGCAACATAATTTTTTGCTCTTTCTGAGAATTTGAACTGGAAGGGCGTGGCTGTGTTATGACTTAGCTCATTATCTTGAACAACTCTCCCATTTCCTTGAATTAATGCTCTCTTTGTTCTTCCTAACTCAGTTAAGTAGATAGGTGTCTTATATTCTGACCAGGCAGAAAATTAAGGACAATTATACTTTTAGTTTTCTATTAGTTATCAGTGTGCCATCTTTCGCAAAATATATCAAACTATTTATGTTAGGAAAGTGAACAATATTGCATATTCTCTTTTGGTCCTTATATTCTCTCTGTATATTTATATATATTATATATATGAGTGTATTAAAAAATATATATATGAATAAATAAAATAGGTATTATATGAAGAGGATCTTTTTAACAACAGTTCTTTTTTTCCCTCCGAATATAGGAAGTTCACAGATGGGTGCTACCATAGTAGATGCTTTGGATACCCTTTTTATCATGGGACTTCATGATGAATTTGTAGACGGGCAAAGATGGATTGAAGACAACCTTGATTTCAGTGTGGTACGTAAACATTGAAAATTAATCTCTTGGACTGTGGTCTGAGTGTTTGCATCCTCCCAAGATAATGTGTTGCAACCTAATCACTAATGTGATGGTATTAGAGGGTGGGGTCTTTGGTAGGTGATTAGGTCATCAGGACAAAGGCCTCCTGAATTAGTGCCCTTACATGATAGCTCCCAGAGAGCTGTCTTGCTGCTTCCACCGAATGAGGACATGGTGGGGAGATACCATCTGTGAACTAGAAAGTGGTCCCCCACCTGACACTGAGTCTGCTGGCACGTTGATCTTGGACTGCCAAGTTTATGGTATTTTGTCACAGCAGGCCTAAGATGCTAACCTTAGTGTTTTTAAGCATAATATTAGCAGTTTAATGAAATCCTAACACTAAGTCTTCTTTCTTCTTTTGGGATTATAATTTGTTGTTCACTGTTTACATAAAATACCCTTTCTCTTTCCTTTTACATTTCTTGCACTTATTTGAGGCATTGTCTTAAGCGTTAAGGTAATAGGAGGAAAAGCAATGAATTTGCTATATCAGGAAGCTATAAGCTGCTTTATAAATAAGTTTTTTTTTTTTTTAAAGATTTAATGATTTGGCATAGTTGTGAAGCCATCGTAATTAGGCCTATCCCCATCCTTCCAGCACTTTGGCATAGTGATACTGCTTAGGCTTGAAGCCCTGAAAAGCTATGTTATAGCTATCTGGCTTGGGAAAGTGTTTATTCCTTCTAAACCTATCATAAAATCACTGCACCATATAATGAGGATTATTTGAGATAATCTGGTACAGAATAAGTGCTCAGTAAATGAAAGTAATTATTTTCATCATTGCAAGTCTTTACCTAAAAGCTGTGTGGACCATTTTTTCATAACTTGCATGGTGTTTGTGCTTATTGTGTTCTTTTGACTGTAGTATCTGCTACTCCTCTGTTTTTCTCTCAGGAATGCTTCACTTAAATTGTTACTTAAATCCATAATTAATTTTCTTATATTTTCCCTGGTGCTAAATAGATAAAAACTGCTTACCTTGTGATCCTAGCAGCATTTTTAATGCTAGACATGTTTATTAATCTATTTTGATTAGAGTAGTTTTCATTATCAGTTAGGTTTCGATTTGGTTGTGCAAGTGATGGAAAATCTAATATAGCTGAATCAAGATTAATGTTAATTTCTCTTTCATCTAAGTCAAGTACACAGAGATAAACAGTCAGGACTGCTTTGGGTAGCTCCTTCATCATCAAGGACCTTGGGTCCTTTGTCTTAATTGTTCTGTCAAGTTCAGTATATATGTAGCTTTAAACTCTTGGTACAAGATGACTCCTTAGTGTCCACACATCTTAGTTACCTTCCAGATGGAAGAGAAGAAGAAGACATACATGAATGATATGTGACTATTTGTTATGAACACTTCTCAGGAGTTGTCCCCATTTTTTGCTTGAATGCTGTTGGTTAGGTTTTATTCATATGGCCCCACCTAACTGTACAGAGAAGCTTCCAGGTTGTACTTTTTATATCTAATCCCTACTCTTAAGATCAGGAGGATATATTCTTATATTTTATTCTTAATATTTTTAAGTTTTGCTTTTGCATTTAGTCTTTACTCCATACGCAAAAATAGGCAACTGTCATTTATCCTAGCACCATTCATATCTCTGCTATGTGTGTATGCCATATTTGTCACATAATGGTCATAGTAGTTTTTCTTTTCCATTGGCTTTTTTCTTTGCCTCTCCCTCAACACCAAACTGTCCTAAGTATAATAAGAAGCTTGATTTCCCCTATCTGAATCTTGTTTGATGTTGGCCTATGAAGAAATCATCTTCGTTCTCAGCCATCTGCTCTTCCAGGTTCTAGAAAACTGTTGAAATTTTGCTGAGGCTTGCATGTAATATATAGATTAATTTGGAGAGATTGGCATCGCTGCAGTGTCAGAAACCCATTCATTTACATGGCAGCTTTATTATGATTGATAATTCCCTTGTTAGTCAGGGACCAGATCTATACTGTTTATTTTAACTAGAGAATTTAATGTTTAGAATTGTTAATCAAGTAATGGAAAACAGAGATGCAGAAAATAAAGCATTATGGTATTACCAGAAGTAGTGACTGCAGGAAATGGACCAGCCATGGGGTATGCAAATAATGGGGAGAGGTTAAGATCATTAAAATTTAGTAGCTTAGGCTCTGAGGATCTGGAATCCAAAGCTCCCTAGGCATTGCTGGTACAAAGACTCTCTCAGAGCTGAGAGTCCATCTTCTGAGGAGGGTGCCTCACAACTGCTTGATAATCTCTAAGAGGCACAGGGAGGCTGGTTTGGGGATTGTGCGTATGTGACAGGACAGCAGTACCTGGGAGCCAGCTGCTTCTGCCATGGTGAAGAACCATGATTGGTGTGACCCTGTTAGAAACTAGAAGTGAACCAGAAGGAGTAAGTCCTTTCTTCTTCCTTCAGTCTTGTATTTTTGTTTTTAGAACTTCTTATTGGCAGGGCCAATAGGGAGACAGCAGGCAAATGAGAATTGCATTTGCAGAGCTCCAGCTTCATTATACCAAAGTAGAGCATAAAGGAATGGATTGGAATGTGAGAGGAAATAGTCGAGTAGTCAGCATAGTCATTTTCCATCCCTTTCCTTTTAACATAGCTATATGTCATTAAGATTTTAGCTGTGTATCTTGCAGATAGTGTGTATGTAGATTTTGTTATTTTTGTCTAGTCTAACAGTCTTTTTATTTTAACTAATAAGTTAGAAATATTTACATTTACTATGGTAACATGTATTTGGAGTTGGGTTTTTCACCGTTGTTTTGCTACCTGTATTATAGTATTATATTTTTCATTTGCTTTGTCTTTTCTTTCCATATTTTGGTTTAACTTCTTTCACGTCTTTTTCCTGTACTCTTTTGACATTTACACTTTCCATTTCCATTCAGTTTTGGGTTACTCTTAAATTTTCAACATACCTACTTAATCAGAGTTTGTTAACAGTGCCCATTCAGTCTGTGATTAAAAGACTTCCAGATTCTTTGGGTCCCTTGGGAAGAATCCATTGCAGGAGCACTTGGGTGTAAAGGGAGTTTATGAAAAGTTAGGAAAGGAAAATACAAAGGGGAGCATGGGGGGCACAGGTGGAATCGTGAGTCAGAGAGAGTGAGTGCTTCTCTTTCTCAGGTGCTCTTAAAATTTATGCTAACCCATGGGAAGAGAGGAACCAGGTGATTCCCATCTAAGAATCAATGAGTAGGAAAGGGAACAGGTGGTTCCTGGCCAGGTGAGGGTGGTCCCTGAGCCAAAGCATGGTTAATTTGATATGCAGTGTTTTTGAATGAGTCCCAAACATTCCCTAATTTTAGCCTGCCTCAAGTTTAGAATTAATTATTTTTTAAAATTCTTTCTTCCTTCTAAACAACATAGTGGTCTCAGGATGCTTTAAGTTAACTTCATTTCTTCTTAGATGTTACTTAGTTGATCCTAATTTATATTTCAAACTTTAAGTTAAGAAATGGATAGATAACTACATTTGTTGGTGTCTCCTCTGCAGCAGTGTTCTAGATTCTAGGGATATACTAATGAACAATACAAACTCTTTCTTTGGTTTTTACTGTAGTATTAGGAGAGAAACAGTAAATGTTTATTCAAGCTGTATAGTAGTCAAGTGTTTTTCAGTGCTGTGGAGAATAATAAATAAGAGCAATTGGATTACAGTAAGTAGTGGTTGGGTATTGCTGTTTTACCTGAGGCGGATAGTGAAGGAGTCTTTATCAAGGTGACATACCTGAGAAGAGTCCCAAGGGAAGTCCTGCCCACGTGACAATAAGGGTCTCTGTTAATAGATTTATAGTTGAGAGTGGAATTACAGTTTGATGATTGTTTTCTCTCAGTCTTTTAAAGGCATAGTTCCATTGTTTGTTTGTTATATGCTATTGAAAAGTCTTAAGTTTTAAAAGGTAATATCCCCTTGTTTTCATGTTTTTACACTGTTTTATAATTCCATTACCTACGTCTACATGTGAATTATTCTTTAAAAGACTCATTATGAGAACTTATCTTTCTCAGCTTTAGAAGATTCTCAGTCTTCACTCCTTTCTGTAATGCCTCTTCTGCATTTTCCCCTTCTCTCCCTGTAGAACTTCTCTTAGCTTTTGTCTCAATAGCGAGGGAAGATAGGAATTTTATAAGTAATTGAATAGTAATCAGGTGGTACAAGTGCTATGTAAGAAAATAATGCAGGGTAAAGGATATTAGTGATGAATGAGCACTGTGTTTTATTGGGTGATAAGGTAACATTTGTATAGAGACCTGTAAGAAGTGACAGAGTGATTCATTTGGCTAGATGAGGGGAAAGTACCCAGACAAGAGAATAACAAATAGAAAGCCTGTGGCATGCAAGTCTCAAGTGTGGTGATTCTGGAAACTGTAAGTCTGATTAGTGAAGCCACTGAGAGGGGTCTTGTTAATCATTTTCCTGTGCATGTAACCAGAGGCCATTGTAATGGTTTGCTCAGACTAGTGACCTACGCTGATGTAAGATATAAAGTGCTCAAACTGTGGGGCAAAGAGGGGTTCTGAAGAAGATGTCATCACATGAGGGGAGCAATCTGGTTTCCATGAGATGATTGCTCCTGCTCCAGGGTGCAGCCTCATCATTACAGGTAACTGTCCTCATTTGGAGGGGTGTCTGTCCTGTAAGTCTCCACTGTTTCTTATGGGAAGTTTCAGTCCCTTGTAAAGATGTTATCAGTTCTGTCCTTACTGGAATCCAGGGTGATTGCAAAGTAACTGTAAAGAGAATGGCTTAGAGCAAACAGATACAAAATGGAGGCAGGGATGCCAAGCTTCTCCTGTTTTTAGTTAGTCTGTGTGCTCAAGTAAGGAGTCAGTGCTTCTCAGCAAAAGTGATTTGAGCTCCTCTTACAGGATTACACACATGCGCCACCATGCCCAGCTTGGTTTTTAGATAGGGTCTCACTAACATTTTTGTACTGGTCTTGTACTATAATCCCCCCATCGCCACCTCTTGCATAGCTGAGATTACAAGTGTGAGCCACCATGCCCAGTAAAAAAAAATTACATTATATCGTGAAAATTCCATTTTGGGAAAATGTACATGTGTTAGCAAATAATGTGTTTTGCCTGTGAATATTGGAAAGATTTCATGGTAATCTGTATTTCTTCAATTTTTGTTAAAATGTAATTATGAGTTAATTCATAAAAATTAAATTCTTACAAGTATGTATACTGCATGTAGTCTGTGGATTCTTTGGTCATACTCTGCTACTTTTACATGTATTTGAATTATTAGAATATTCCATGTATGAGAATTTTTCAAACAATGTCTGTATCCATACCTAGATGTAAGCATAGCATATACACTATATATAGAATTACATATGTAGGTTATTAATACTGCTTTATTTGTGCCAAACTTCCTTCAGTTTGTTTATCTTTTAGTTTTGCTCATGACTTGTGTTCTTACAACTAATTTGCATTTTAGGAGAGTTTTCATCATCAGTTTGTCACCAAAACTATTGATTCTGTGCTTAACATAGCACCTGCTTTCTAATTTTACATTTCTAAATCATTTGATCTTTTTGATACATATATGATGTGTCTACATTAATTTTTTACTGAGGAGCTGGTTTTCTCAACATTATTAATTCAGTCATCTACAATTCTACCACTTTGGTGCCTCCTTTAACATTTACTAAGTTATTTATATATACTAGGGAAAATATTTAAAATTCATGAAAAGACAAAAATAATAATTATGCTGTAGTGATTGGAGCAAAAGGATGGAATGGGTGGGAGGATGCTCTTCCAGGATTCAGAAAGTGGGAGTATTCATGAAGAGGCACAGGAGTCAGTGGTTTTGAATGTGTCCCTGCTGCAGGGTATGCATGAGGCAAGTGAAACTGGCCCCTTGCTTTCCCAGCTAGGAAGCTGTGGTGACAGTAATGGAGGAGTTTCAGTAGCATTAACAGATGGACAATGGGAAGTGAAGATGCAGAAAGTAAAGAAACATTCTTAGTGTTTCTGAGAAACAAATGAAGTATGAAAATATTCCAAAAACTGTAAAGTGTCATATATGTGAATGTTCTCAATATGTTTTCACAGAATTCGGAAGTGTCTGTGTTTGAAGTCAACATTCGATTTATTGGAGGCCTCCTTGCAGCATATTACCTTTCAGGAGAAGAGGTGAGTAAAAGCCAAGTTACGCATCATTTGGGGGAGGGAGTTCGAGTGGAGTATAATAAAATAAAAGCCTTCCCTAGTGGCCTGTTGGCTTCCTAGCTTGAACATTACTGAACTGCTCTGAAGGTCTGCTGAAAGAACTGGCTGCTTGAGGTGGAGCTGTTCCTGGGAGTGACTTAGCTTCCATATGCAAAATAGTGCAGCAGGACTTGCCACAGGTCCTGGTTTCTATATATCATGTGTCCTTTGCACAAGTGATCATCCTGCAGGATTTTGCCATCATACTTATTTGCTGCATGGTCTAAACAAAGAGGGTGGGGTGGGGAAGAAACTACTAAGTGCCATATTAAGGGGTGAATCAGGAAGAATGAATACAGATCCTCCTAAGGCCAAATAAATAATGAATACAGATCCTCCTAAGGCCAAATAAATAATAAGTGATAATAATTATTAAAACTTCTTGTTTAGAAATTGAATGCAGTTTATTGCTATGAATAACAATTTAAAAATGCAAGTCTGAATTCTTCTTTCTGGAATTGTTGGTAAGTGTACAGGGACATACTTCAGACCTATAGTGATGGAAAACTGCAAATATATGAATATATTTTATTTTAAAAGTATTTTAGCAGGACATTGTGGCTCAAGCCTATAATTCTAGCCACTTAGGAGGTATGCCAGGATCACAATATAAATGAAGCTGTGACTAAAGTACAGAATTTTGTACGTCCTACCAGTAAAGTTGAAATCACTGCTTTTTCTGCTCTGTCTCCCTATAAGCTGTTCCCTATCTCTTTCCCAAGGTGTAAGACAGAACAGTAAGAATGGGAGAACATGCTGAGGCCAGTAAGTGGGGCTGCAGCTGAGACTGCGTGTGTCCACCTATCATCCCCACTCATTCTGTAGAAAGAACTCTCCTCCCCTCCCCTTCTGGGCATGTGGGCTTCTGGGAAGAAGGCCAGTTAGAAGGGAGGAGACACTCTGCACATTCCTTTTCCTGTTTTAACCTGAAGTATATTTACAGCAAAGAGCTTGGAAGTTGAAGAGAAAACTATGGGAACAGGACAGCATGGGAGTGTAATGCAGTCTAAAATGGAAGAGGACGTACCTTGTCCTACATCTAAATCCGCTGGGAGCCTTGCTCTTAGACTGCAAAAAGAATGAGAAGGAACTAGAAGGATTAGTGGAGTTTCAGGGCTGTGGAGGGCAATCAGATTGAGGATTCCCTGGGAGTGTCAGTCAGGAACTGGGTCAGAAGTCACAGCAGACCTGTGGAGTTTTCCAGAGGAGAGGGGTGAGGTGCCAGGACTGTGGGTCTTCACTGAAGCAGTGACTGTTTGGTGTGTTCTGTGACTGACTGCAGCTCCTAAGGTACAGTCTGTTCCATGATACGTCTTCACACTGAATGCCTCCTTGTACCACTGGGCCGGGGGGTGGGGGTGCCCTTCCTTCTGTGTAACCAAGAACTGACCCTGCTAGTGTTCTCCAGCATTACTCTCTTGCCTGCATTTCCCCACAACATCTGACTGTGTCATGTCAGTTGAAGAGGCAGTTCCAAACAGCCATTAAGTATCAGCTTATTTTCGTAGGAGTGGCCAGGCACCTAGAAGTAAAGATCAGCCCTGCTCTGCACATTACTGTCAGGCCTTCCAAGAAGGCTTCTTCACTGTCAGTACCCACAGGCATCATCCCAGATGCTCCTTGCCCTGACAGGGTAGACAGTATAGAACTAGGCAAAAAGTTGGCCTCCGTCATAGTCCAGACTCAGTTTGACCTTGTGAGCAGAGAGTTCCATAGTCAGCGTCTCCATCATGCCTCACAACATTTGTCACTGGTGTTCTTGATGATGGCTGTTCTAACAGGAGTGAGGAATCTTAGTGTGCTTTTGATTTGCATTTCCTTTATGGCTAAGGATGGTGAGCATTTTTCATGTGTTTTTTAGCCATTTTGACTTCTTCCTTTGGAAAAGCTCTGTTCAGTTCATTTGCCCATTTCTTTATTGGTTCATTGATTTTTGGGGAGTTTAGTTTTTTGAGCTCTGGTATATTCTGGTTATCAGTCCCTTGTCTGATGTATAGCTGGCAAAGATTTTTCTCCCATTCTGTAGGTGGCCTCTTCAATTTAGAGACCATTTCTCTTATTGTGCAGAAGCTTTTTAATTTCATGTCCATCCTTTGTCTTAGTTGCTGAGCCACTTGAGTTCTACTGAGGAAGTCTGTCTATACCTGTTGCTTCCAGTGTATTCCCTGCTCTTTCCTGTACTAGCTTCAAGGTTTCGGATTGATACTAAGATCCTTAATCCACTTTGAGTTGTTACTTGTGCAGGGTAACAAACATGGATCTAGTTTCAGTTTTCTGCAGGCAGAGAACCAATTTTCCCAGCAACATTTGTTGAAGAGGCTGTCTTTTTTCCAGCTTATATTTTTGGCAACTTTGTCAAAAATTATTTGGGCATAGCTTCATGGATTCATATCTGGTCATCTGTACTGTTCCACTGGTCTTTATATCTGTTTTTGTGCCAGCGCCATGCTGTTTTTATTGCTGTGGCTTTGTAGTATAGTTTGAAGTTGGATATTGTGATACCACCGGCATTGGTTTTTTTGCTCAATATTGCCTTGGCTATTTGTGGTCTCTTGTCTTTCCAAATGAACTATAGGATAGATTTTTCAGTCTCTGTGGTGAATGTCATTGAGATTTTGATGGCAATTGTATTGAACATGTAGATTGCTTTTGGCAGTGTAGCCATTTTTACTATGTTGATTCAGCCAATTCATGAGCATGGGAGATCTTTCCACCTTCTGTAGTCTTCCTTGATCTCTTTCTTCAGGGGTTTGTAGTTCTCCTTGTAGAGGTCATTCACATCCTTTGTTAAGTTTACTCCTACGTATTTGATTTTTTTTTAAGGCTATTGTAAATGGAACTGTTTTCCTGTATTCTTTCTCTATCTGTTCATTGTTGGTATATAGAATAGCTACTGATTTTTATAAATTGATTTTGTATACTGTTACTTTGATGAAGCTGTTTATAGTGTGTAGGAGTTTTTTGGTGGACTTTTTGGGTCTTTTAGGTATAAAATCATGTCATCTGCAAACAGGGATAGTTTGACTTCTTCCTTACCTCTTTGTATTCCTTTTATTTCTTCTTCCTGTCTTACTGCTCTAGCTAGGAATTCCAAGACTATGTTGAATAGGTCTGCTGGCCTTATGGGAAATGGTTTCAGTTTTTCTCCATTAAGTATTAGGTTGGCTATGGGTTTGTCATATGTAGCCTTTATTATGTTGAGGTACATTCTTTCTATTCCTAGTTTCATCAGAGCTTTTATCATGAACCGATGTTGAATTTTATTGAAGGCTTTTTCTATATTTATTGAGATGAGCAAGTGGTTTTTGTCTTTGCTTTGTTAATGTGCTGTATTACATTTAATGATTTGTGTATGTTGAAGCATCCCTGCATCCCTGTGATGAAGCCGACTTGGTTGTGGTATGTGATCTTTCTGATATGCTGTTGTATTCGGGTTGCCATTATTTTATTGAGGATTTTTGCATCTATGTTCATTAGAGAAATTGGCCCATAATTTTGGTTTTTTTTTTGTTGTGTCCTCCGGTTTTGTGATGAGTGTAATACTGGCTTCATAGAATGAGTTATTCAGTGTTCCTTCCCTTTCTATTTTGTGGAATAGTTTAAGGAATGTTGTTGTTAGTTCCTTTTTAAAGGTCTGATGGAATTCAGAGAATCTGTCAAGGCCTGGACTTTTCTTTTTTTTGGAGACTCTTTATTGCTGCTTCAATTTCATTGTATGCTAATAGGTCTGTTTATGTGATTACTTTCCTCTTTGTTCAATTTTTGAATGGTCATATATATGTAGAAAATTGTTTCTTCTAGATTTTCCAATTTATTTGAACATACATTTTTCATAGTAGTCCCTGATGATTCCCTGGGTTTCCTTGGTGTTTGTTGGTATCTTCCCTTTTACATTGCTAGTTTTAAAGTTTGGTCTTTTTTTTCTCCTCATTTTAGTCAGATTTGCCAGGGGTTTATCAATGTTTTTTATTTTTTCAAGGCCAGCTTTTTGTTTTGTTGGTTCTTTTGTTTTTTTTTTTTTTGTCTCTATTTCTTTGGTTTTTACCCTTATTTTTATTATTTTTCTCCTACTTGTTTTGGATTTAGCTTGTTCTTGTTTTCTAGGAGTTTGAGATATAACAGTAGGTTGTTTATTTGAGCTCTTTCTGTCTTTTTAATATATGCACTCATGGCTATAAACTTTCTCCTTAAGACTGCCTTTGCTGTGTCCCACAGGTTCTTATAGGTTGTGTTTTCATTTTCATTAAATTCTATGAACATTTTGATTTCCTCACTTATTTCTTCTATGACCCACACTGATCACTGAGCAGCGTTGTTGTTCAGCCTCCAGTTGTTTGAGTATATTTTGCTGCTGCTTTTGCTGTTGTTCTAGTTTTACTGTGGTCAGACAGTATGCAGGGGCTTATTTCGATTTCCTTTATTTGTTGAGACTTGCTTTGTGCCCTAGGATGTGATCTATTTTGGAGAACATTCCATTGGCTGATAAGAAGAATGTATATTGTACTGTTACAAGGATGGAATATTCTGTAGACATCTGTTAGGTCTGTTAGATCTATGGTGTTTTTCAATTCTAGAATTTGTTGATTTTTCTTTTTTTGTCTAGATGATCTATCTATTGGTGATAGAGGAGTATTAAAGTCTCCCACAACCACTGTGTTGGGATCTATCTGATTTTAAGTCCATAAAGTGTATGTTTAATGAAGTTGGGTGCACTGATGTTATGTATGTATAAGTTGAAAATTGTTATTTCCTTTTGAAGTATTATTCCTTTTATTAGTGTGAAGTGTCCTTCTTTGTCTCTTGTGACAAATGTAGGTTTGAAGTCTACTTTATCTGATATAAGTATTGCTACTCCTGCCTGTTTTGGGGGACCATTAGCTTGGTGAATCTTCTACCCTTTCAACCTAAGATAGTGTTTGTTTCTGTCTATGAGGTGGGTTTCTTGTAAACAACTGATCGTCAGGTCTTTTTAATAAAGTTTGCCAAATGATGTCTTTTGATGGGGGAGTTGAGTCCATTAGTGTTCAGTGTTAGTAATGTGGTGGTCTCTGCCGTTGTTGTTTAGGGAAGTGTGTGTGCAGCCAGTTCTGTTCCACTCTCTGATACTTGTCTTTTCTCTTGAGGCTTAATATTTCTTGTCCTTTCATGGTTATGTTTGTTTTTGTCTTCTCTGTGGTGGTGGCTTGGTGTTCACATATTGTTTTAGTTTCTGTTTATCATGGAAGACTTTTATTCCTCCATCAATTTTGAATGATATCTTTGCTGGGTAGAGTATCCTAGAAATGAAATTGTTTTCTTTGAGTGCTTGAAATACCTCGCTTCATGTAAGGTAGTTTTTAGTGTCTCTCTCTTTCTGTACATATATATGTATCTACATGTGTGTGTATCTATGTCTGTCTATCTATCTGTCTGTCTGATCTATCTATATTAGACAAGTATTCTACCTTTTTGAGCTGCATGTCCAGTCTTTTGATTTGGTCTGTTTTTCAGATAAGGTTTCTGCTTTCCCCTGGACTGGCTTTCAACTGTGATCATCCTGATTTTGCCTTCTTAGTAGCTGAGATTACAGGCATGTATCTCTATACCTGGCTTGTTTTTGAGATAAGGTCTCTTTTACTTTTGTAGGGCTGGCCTTGAACTGCAGTCCTCCTATGTCTGTTTCCAGAATAGCTGAGAGTAATCTATATATTTTTGTATTTAAAGTTAGTTTTCCTATAACAGATTTGACATTCTGTCTTAAATTTGTGTGCCTAGATCATTTACATTCAATATAACTAGTGATCTTAAATCTGTTGCATTGTTGGTGTGTTCTATTTGTACCATCTTGTTCCTCATTCTCTTTTCTGTTTTTCTGTCTACTATATATATATATAATATTTTGTGTGTGTGTGTGTATGATCTGTTTTATCTCTACACCTAACTTACTTATACTTGCTTGTTTGTTTGTGATGCTGAAGACTGAGCTCAGGGTCTTGCACATGTTAGGTAAGCACTCTACCGCTGAGCTCTACCTCTAGCCTGTTAAAAAAATGTATTGTGAGACAAGGTCTCACTTAGTTGGTGAGGGGGATTACAGGCATGCTTCACTACCTTGCTGAAGTTTTTTTTTTTTAATGATTTCTCTTTGTTCACGATATAAGTGTTGAGTTAAATCTGGGTTTTCTGTCAGTCAGTAGACATGACTTCACTTGTATTCAGAGGCTGCCTTGATCGTATTCTCCTGATTCTTTTTTCTCTGATCTATGTTGTTATCTTACCTTTCAGTTTTATCCTACAAATTTTTTTTTGTGGTACTGGGATTTGAACTGAGTGTCATACCAGGTAAGCAAGTGCTCTACCACTTGAGCCACACCCACAGCTCATTTTGCATTAGTTATTTTCCAGGTAGGCACTTTACCACTTGAGCCACTCCACTAGCCCCTTGCATTAGTTATTTTCCAAACAGAATTGTGTGAGTTTTTTTTGTTTGATTTTTATATCATTCATTAGTTTTGTTATTTTTCTGTTAAAGATCTTACACATATTTTGTTAGATTTGTACCTAAGTATCTCATTTGTGAGGGTGCAAAGTAAATGGTATTGTGTATTTAATTTCATATTCCACTTTTTATTGCTGGTATATAGGAGAGCAATTGACTTTTGTATATTAATCTTGCATCCTTCAACTCAGCTATAAACACTTACCAATTGTCATTGGTTCATCTATAAGCAAATGTGGTTTACTTACTTTCTTCCCAATCCTATGCTTTTTATTTCCTTGTTTCATTTCATTAGCGAGGACTTTTAGTATGATGTTGAAAAGGAGTGGTAGACATCTGTATCAAGTTCAGGATGTTCCTCTCTGTTTCTAGTCTACCAGGAATTTAAAAATGAATGGGTGAGATGCTTTTTCTGTATTTATTGGTATGGTCATGTTGACATGTGCATTGTATTATTTGAGTTTTAACATTGAAGCATGTATCCCTAATAATCCCATTTGATTGTTTTTCATTCTTTTTTATATGTTGTTGGATTCAGTGTGGTAATATCTTGTTGGGGGTTTTGCGTGCAACTTCTTGGGAGATACTTTCTGTAGCTTTCTTATAATACTTTTATATCTAGCTATTATGTTAAAGTGATGCTGCCCTTCTAGAATGAGTTAGGAAGTATTCTGTGTGCTTCTGTCTTCTGAAAGAGACTCTAAAGAATTGATGTACTTTCTCCCAAAAATGTTTGGTAGAATTCACCAGTCAACCCATGTGAACATGGTATTTTCTGATTTCAGAATTTATTAAATATTAATTTAATTTCTTTAATAGATAAAGGGTGAGTAGTAGTATCCCTCCACAATTCACATGCTGGAACTTAATCCTAGAGGCGGTGGCATTTAAAGCGGGACCTTTGGGCAATGATTAGGTAATGAAGTGTCTGTACTCTTGGATGGGATTAGCGCCCTTATAAAGGGTCTTGAGGAGTAAGTAGAGGCCATGTGAGGACACACAAGAGAAGCCATCTATGAAGCAGAGTGTAAGCCTTCACTAGATGTCAAATCTGCTTGACCTTGAAATTTCTGAGAAATAAGTTTCTATTTTTTATAATAGAAGGCATTTTGTTATAGCCTGTTCAAATTGTTTATTTCTGCTTATATAAAATTTGGCAGATTGAATCTTTCAAGGAATTGGTCCATTTCATCTAGATTATCAAATTTGTGAGCATAGAGTTGTTTGTAAATATTCCTTCTGATGTCTACTGGATCTTTTTTCCTTAACCTACTTGAAGACTTACTAGTTTTATTGGACTTGTCAGAGAATCAGCTCGTGGGTATATTGATTGCTTTTTGATTTCATTGATTTCTGCTTGAATTTTTCATTATTTTGCATAGCTCAGACTTTAATTTGCTATTGTTTTTCTAGTTTCTTAAAGATAAAGCTTAGATGGTTGAGTTTTAGATCTTTTTTCTAATATAAGTCTACCTGTAAGCACTACTTTTGTTGCCTTCCATCAAAGTATTTTAAAATTACTGTAGATATTTCTACTTTAACATATGTGTAATTTAGAGGCATATTGTTTAATTTCTAAGTAATTTTTACTTTTGCAGCTGTCTTTCTGTTACTAATTCCATTGAGGTCTGACAGTAGACATAGTATGATTTCTGTCCTAAATTTGTTGAGGTGTGCTTTATGGCTCAGGATGTAGTCTGTGTTGGTGAACATTCCATGTAAGCTTGAGAAGAATGTGTGTTCTGCTGTTGTTGAATGGAGTAGTTTATAGATGTCCATTATATCTAGTTGATTCCTGGTGCTGTGGAGTTGAACTGTGTCCATGCTGATTTTCTGCTGAGGATCTGTCCATTTCTGATAGATGGATAGCAAAATCTTTGAGTATAGTAGTGGGCCATCTTTTTGTCCTTGTGGCTCTATCAGGTTTTGCCTCACTTATTTTGGCACCACTTATTAGGCATCCTGTCTTCTTGGAGAACAGACTCTATCATTGGGTAATGCTCCCCCGCCCCCGTATCTTTGATAATTTTTCTTGCTCTGAAGTCTGCTCTACCCAAAATTAATATAATAATGTTTTCTTTTGATGTGTGTTCCTTTCTGTACCCATTTACTTTTTTTTTTGGCATTTTTTCTTTCTTTATTATTTTTACATTTACTTACATGTATATACATTATTTGGACCACCTCCATCCTCCTTCTGCCTCTCCTCCCTGCCATTCCGACCCATTTACTTTTAATGTGTAGGTGTCTTTACATTTAAATAGATTTCTTATAGACAGCATGTTTGTGGATTTTGTTTTTGATTCATCTCTTTTAGTTGATGTGTTTAGACCATTGACATTCACAGTGATTATTGATTTACCTGGATTATTATCCACCGTATTTGTTACTGTTTTCTGTCTGCTGCCCTTGTTGTTCCTGTTTTTGTCTTCTATCTCTGTGTGTCTATTGGATACTTTATGTGACTCCATTTTTCTCTGTTGTAGTGTATGCTTTCAAATAACACTACACCACTGTATGAATGGTACAGATTCCTTACACTCACAAAACAAATCCCAATTCCTTCTATCCCTTGTCTTATTGTCATTCATTTTGCTTATATATGCACATGTGTATATATACATGTATGTGTACGTGTATAATTGAATGCACTGTTGCTACTATTATTTTGAACCGTTAGGTAACGGTTTAGATTAAGAAAAATAAATTTTTCTTTTATCTTCCATTTATTCATTCTCTGATGCTCTTTATATAGGTCTACATTTCTGACCTATATAATTTTCCTTCTCTCTGAATAACAACATTTCTTATAAGGCAGGGCTTATGGTAACTAATTCCCTTTGTTTTTGTTTATCTGAGAAAGTATTTCTACTTCACTTTTGAAGGACAGTAAGATACAGAATTTTAGGTTGGTGTTTTTTTCTTCCTTAGAAATTTAAAAATATTATATTCTCTTGTTTTCTTTCTTGGCCAGTTTTTTTTTTTCCTACAACAAAATACTTGAAGTTGAGTACATCATAAGAAAAGAGGTTCATAGTTTTGGAAGATCTGTTTGGCTTCTGGTGAGAGTCTCATAGCAGATGGCATCACATGGCAGGAGCAGGTGTTAGAAGATCACATGGTTCATGGGCCAAGCTCACTCCTTTTCCAAGAACCCATTGTTGGGGTAACTAAGAGGGGTCCGTAAAACTATACTAATTCATCCTGAAGGCTCCTCAGAATGGGGAGATTCCACCTCTTCTCGTCATCACCACCCTAAGTACCAGGTTTCCATGAACCTTTGTGGATTATACTCAAATTGTATCCAAACTGTAGTGTGGGGTTTTGAGGAAAAGTTGGGTAAGTTTTTGTCTTGGCTTCTCTATAGATAAGGTGGTTTTTCCCCTCTGGCTTCTTTTGATACGTTTTCTTTATCTTAGATTTTCTGCAGTTTTAATAATGATAAGGTTAGGGTTTTTATTTGTTTTGTTTTGTTTGCATTGATCTCTTGATGTTGTCTGAGCTTTCTGGAGTAAGGG